AGTCTTTTATCAATAAAATTTTTTAAATAATATATTTTTTAAAAACAACAATATAAGAAAGCAGAGAGATAAGCTCAAGAGTTGCTTCTTAAATTGTATAGGTATGGGTTCTAATATTCCAAATGTAATCAATTGATAACCCAGTTCACTAATAAACGTTAATTTCGTAAATATCAGTTTCTAGATTTTTTTCCTTACCTCAAAGCTATCCCTGGAACAAATCTCTCTCTTCTTCCAAACATTTATTATATTTATTTTTACTTTCACCTAATTCTAAACTGCTTTTGTTTCACCCCAGTTCATCAATTACATCAATTACCAACTGCCTCGTTATTTAATATTTACTAATGCTAAGGAATTGGGTCTATAAAGAGCAATAAAACATAATCTCTACTCTCCAAGACTTAAAAGTATAATAATACAAAAAACAAAGGTAAATAAATAGCTATAATTATGTGATAAGTTATAATAGAGGTAACTATAAGAACTTAATTCTACCCTGTGACATTTAAGTATTAAAAGAAGAATAGACAAAAAAGACATTGCAAACAAAACTTGTGCAGAGACAAAGGGATGAGAGAGAATTTGGCTGATTCTAAGGACTGCCAAAGAGTTCTAGAGCACAAAGTACAGGTTACAAAAAGGCAGAAAAAAATCAGTTTTGTGAGCCACATTATAGGGCTGAGACTATTCAAAGTCACTGGGGGACAGTTGGTTTTCAACTGGAAGCAATTTTATTTGGGACATTTGAGAAAGTCTGGAGACATTTTTGGTTTTAACAATCATGGGGGGAAGTATGGAGGTAAGTGGTTTGCTACTAACAATTACTAGGTATAAGCAGGGGTGATGATAAACACCCTACAATGCACAGAACAAAGAAGTATCTGGCCCAAAATGTAAACAGTTTTAAGGTTAAGAAACCCTAATTTAGAAACCCTGGTAGAGCTAAGTACTATGGTATAGGAATAAAACTGGAGGCAGAGAATCAGGCAGCCTATACGTTCCAGAACATAGACTATGTCCTTATTTATCCAGCAACTCCAAAAACATATATATATCATAGACCACTGCCAATATAAGGTAGGGACTACATATTTACTTGGTAAGTGAATGAATGATTTAGAGCTTCTCCTGCCATTAAGTACCAAGGCCTGAAATGTTGCTGTGGCCATGGTAATGGAAAACTGATTCAAAAGACTAGAAGAGAATATATAGATCTTATTTACTAAATGCACACAAGAAACTAATAAGAAGTCTAAAATAAAATGAGTCTTCAACTTAGAATAACAAGTTTCAGAGGGCCAAAAGCTGTACTTTAGACATTTTGAAGTATGAGACAAATGTGATGTATCTAAATATAGAGGTCCATACAGTTTGAAATAAAGCTCAGAAAAGAAAATCCAATTTATTACCACAATGATCTTAAATGATCATCTGACTTACAGAAAGAAGTTCAGTGAAAATGAATAAACCCTAAGTGCAGTATGGTATCTCGGACTGAAAATCCTGGCACAAGAAAAAGTAATCAGTGGAAAAATTTGGTGAGACAGAGTACGGACTAGTGCTTAATTATACTGTACTAATGTTGGTTTAGTAGTTTTGAGAAATGTACCAAATTATATAACATTAGGATAAACTAAGTAAGGGATAAACAGGAGCTCTTTGAACAACCTGTGCAACTTTTCGGTAAATGATTTCTTATTCCAAAATTAAAAGCTTATATAACAAAAAGCACCCTACATCCCACAGGTATTCAAATTTAAATATGTGAATCTATATTAAACATTTAAATCTATATTTTAAGAAAAGCTAAAATGTTAAGGTTTGTTTCTTCCACTGATACTTAGTAATACCACACTGGCCAAGAAAGAAGCAAAGAAAATCTTGAAAGGTAGCCAGGCGGAAAATGGCAGAGTAACCAACAAAAGAAATAAGTTAGTACTACAAAAGTTCGTATTTTTAAAAAATGTTTTGTGCCCCATATTCTGTGATAACTTGATACCGTATTACTACACAGGCAAACTGCAAACTTATTATGGCAAAAAGCTTACATTTTTTCTTTGCATTATCATCATATTCATAATTTTCTAGGAAAAGATATTCAATATTGTCACCAAGGTAAACAAACAAGATATGACAGTAAACTAAGACTATAACAGAGAGTCATTTTGATTAGTCCTGCTTTTCTGTTTTTATTTTTTATATTTTTAAATTACAGTTTACATTCAATATTTTATTTTGTATTACTTTCAGGTGTACAGCATAGTGGTTAGACAATCGAGCTTTTCCTGAGAAATTTCAAAAAATATATATAAAAGTAGGTAAAATTGGCAGGCCTTCTAGTACAGGTTTGTTTTTTGTTTTTTAATATAAAGAACTAGTTTATTTTCCTGACAATATAAATAGAAGGAAAAAATTTTAATAAACCCTAAAAATATAATAAAATCTTTCAGAAAGGTCCATTTACCTGCTTGGTAATAATTCTGTAACCTGAATGTACTAGATACATTTTTCTGTTATAACACAAAACTCAAGATATTTTTGTCATATTTACAGTCCCTATATTTATGTCAACAAAATTTACTGCTCTGAGCATATATGACCAATACCAATTTTCTTGAGTAGCCAAAGGTTACTATTTGGGAGTTTAGTTTATTGAGACTAAGGCATAGTATAACGAAGTCAGTCTGGCTTCATGACTCACTAATTGTGTAAACTTAGTCAAGTTGACAAAACTTTCCATGCCTCAATTTCTTTCTCTGTAAAATAGTAACAGTTCCTCCTATAGGCCATTTAAGGTTTTAAAAGGAAAAATACTAGAATACGGCCTGGCATATAGTAATTACTCACATAGCAAATATTAATAGGAAAGTTATTTACTATCAACCATTCCTGCACTTTAATTGCCTACCACAGGGCTGCTTGACAAGGTATTCAAACAACAACATAACATATTTCCTTTATTACATGGAAGTGAAGTTTTCAAAGAGAGAATAAACTTTCCCTATAGGGGAAGCTCCGATTATATTTTACTTTCCATTTCTTTCAAGAAAACTATTCTACCCTCAGTTTAATTTTCTAAGTCCAAATATACTCTAGTGTCTCAGAGCCTTTGTTTTCTTTAATAGTTGTGCATTATAGTAAGATCATATATAGAAATAATTATTTAACCAGGGCAATCATATGTTCAAAAAACTCATGCATGATTAAAAAGAAGGGTAACAGAAAAGTAAAAAAGTCTAGCATCTGTTCAAACTGGAGTCCCAGAGGAGAGAGAATGAGCAGCAAAGATATATTAAATGATAATGACTGAGAATTTCCCAATGCAATAAAAGACATTATAGATTTAAGCCTAATAAATTGCAAACAAGATAAATTTAAAAGAATCGACAAGGCACAAACTGCAGAAAACCAACAAGAAAATCTCAAAAGCAACCAGAGAAAAAGAGATCACTTTCCAGTAGCAATATTTAGAATTTAACACAAATATATCAGTAATTAAAGGACAAAATGTCCCAGATTAAACACAAAGACTGTCAATATTGTATTTTTTAAAAGCTACTTCTATACTATTTTTAAGAGATATGAAAAATAAAAGGATACAAAAGACAAAGTAAACCATGGAAAAAGATAGAGTATATAAACATAAAACAAAATTATGCAAAACTAATACTGATTATTAGTATAGTAAGTATCTAGAAAAGGAAAAAAAAAGTAGGATTTGGATAGATGGAAGAAAGGAGAATAACTCCTGGCTAGGCAGGAAGATGGGGGTGAAAGAAGAGGCTATGATAAAATATGAAGTCTCTGAAATTCACAAATTTAGACCTGGTGATAAAGGAAGTATACCACTATTAAAATATCTTAAATGACCTCTTTATACTACCTTGATCAGAGAGCAACATAGCTAAAGTAAAATTAAATAAGGTTAATATGGCAGTGTTATACAGTATGACCTGGAAGGGAGAGACGGAAAAGATATCAGAAACAAAGAGGCTAGTTAGAATGATGTGTAGGAGTCCATGTAATTTCCAACCTTTTTCATCTCATGGCACACACAAACTATTACTAAAATCCTGCGGCACACCAAAAAAAATTTTGTTTTCCTGATCTGACAAAAAATAAATATAATTTTGATTTACAAAATAGTAATAATAATAATAATAATAATTACATACCCTCTTTGCTCCAAAGTGACGTTTTAAAAAAATCACGTTCTGCCCTGGCTGGTTTGGCTCAGGAGTTAGAGCGTCAGCCTATGGACCAGAGAATCCTGGGTTTGGTTTCCGCTAAGGGAACGTACCTCTGTTGCAGTTTGTCCCTGGCCCCAGCTGGGGTCGGGTCGGTGGCCACCACTCGATATCTCTCTCACATCAATGTTTCTCACTCTCTTTTCCTCTCTCTCTCCCTCCTGCTCTATCTGAAGATAAATGCAAAAATGTCCTCCGGTGAGAACAAAATAAATAAATAAAATAAAAATAAAAAATCAGGTTCTATATTTGTGTATAAGTATTTCTGGTACCGAGAATTAACAAATCAGATACAACCTTATTATGTGACATAACTAATAAGATGCAACTCTATTAAATGACCTATATATTTATAGTCCAAGACAGGGCATTCACACCAGATGGCTATTGTTTTGGCTGTTGTCATTTTTTTATTTGACAATCTAAGGAAAAAAAGGTTAGTGCCCCTGACTAAATAGTCAGGTACTGAGTGGTTGAAAATAGCTATAGTAAACAGTTCTTTGTAAAAATAAAATATCCATGAACTAACTAATTAGCCTAAATTAGATATAACATACACAATCCATAATTACATGTTATTATGACTTCATTATTAAGATCAATATAAGAAAAAATCTGATAGCTTTTTCCTCTTTGAATGCTAATGTACACAAGATGAAATTCTCTGATTTCACAGTAACTAAAAAACATCTTTATTTTTAAAAGCTCTTTACCAAAAGGATTATCAACTTAGAAATGAACTTAACTCACCAATGCTGGGTGGGCTACCATAGTTAATTGGTGACTCGGGTGGTCTTCCACAATGCAATGCTGCCAGAGCAGATCCTTTCCAAACAACATGCTTGCAGCCTATTAAAACACAATATTTTTATAGATACAAAGATAGGACATTAAGGACAAAAAAATAAGAAAAATAATGTCTAAATGCTATTAGAAAATTTTCATACTTTTGTTTGTGCGTAGCAAGGACTGTCTTCCAGCTCCTAATAAAGTTTGTACTCCAGGAACACTTTGTGGAATTTCTTGTTCAAGAAGAGGTCCTAATCGATGACATATTTGCAGCAAGTGATCAGGTGCTAAATGTCTGTAATACTTCACCTGTTATATAAAAGACAAAAAATATCTGCTAAATAAAGAGATATAATTCTTTATAGTAAATAAATACACTTTAAAAATAAAGTAATATGTCTAGTTAATCAACATTTCATTTTACTTGGGAGAAAAGTTCATGTTTACTCTGTAAAATCATTTGACTCACAGAACAGAATAGCTACCCCAACCATCATTTATCCATGAAGGAGGAAAAGAAAGAACTAATGGAACCTAAATATAGTGAGTTATAAATTAACAGGTGCTAGTCAGTGCAAATATTGAACGATGAAAAAATATAAAGCATTAAAAACCCAAAATGGTATGTTTCAGCTTAACATTTTAATTTTCAAAAACTTCAAAAAAATCAAACTATAAAATACAGAAAATGTTTTATATATTTGACGTTATTAAGAATAAATATCTCCAGAATAATTGAGGATTAAATAAACTTGATAGTTCACATTTTTATCACAAAATTTAAAAACACTTATAGAGCCCTGGCCGGTTTGGCTCAGCGGTTAGAGCGTCGGCCTGCGGTACAGAGAGACCCGGGTTCGGTTCCCGCTAAGGGCGCGTACCTCGGTTGCAGTTTGTTCCCGGCCCTGGTTGGTTGTGTGGGTGGCAGCCACTCGATGTGTCCCTTCACATCGATGTTTCCCTCTCTCTCCCTTCCTCTCTCTCCCTCCCACTCTGTCTGAACAACAACAACAAAAAAATGCAAAAATGTCCTCGGGTGAGGATAAAAAAAAAAAAACAAAAAAAAACACTTAAGAACATTATGCTGATTTATCTAAAACCTAACAAAAAGGCCAAATTCTAACTATTAATTTAAACATATTTTGACCATAAAATAAAACTACCTATAAGAAAGTTTGAGCACTTTTGGAACAACTTCAAAACACTGCTTAAATTATGCTATCATCTGAAAATATATTATCCTACAGTGTTTTTAGTAAATAGGCAATATTTGCATAATAATCTAAAGAGAATTAGAGAAAATAAAGTATACTATTTTATCACTTTATATTTAGGTTAAGTTACTAAAAATTTCTCACTGTAGTACCTAAATAACACTTTAGTTCAGCTGTTCTCAAAGTATGTTCTGGGAACCACTGAGAGTTCCTTAGGCAAAAATTACAAATACTAAGACATTATTTGGTTTTTCATTCATTTTTCTCATGAGTGTATGGTGTTTACAGAGGCCACATGACATATCATGTTACAACAGAATGAATGCAGAAGCAGGTAAGAATCTGTCTCTATTAAACCAGACATTAAATGTTCCCAAAATGTAAGACAACAAAATTATTCTCACAAGTTTGTTTTGAAAAATAATTATATTTAAAAAGTTACTTATATTAATATGAAATGAATTTATAAGATTTAAATAAAACATGAAATTATAATCCACATAAACAAAGAAACTTCAATAATTTTTATTCATGTAAGCAGATTCTGAGACCAAGAAATTTGAGAATTGCTACTCAAGTTCATTCAGTAATGGCAATTTTACTATGAATCCATATAAGATTGATTTGGGGAAGAAGTGAGGAGTTAAATCATTTCATTCAATCTTGTAGTATGCAATTCTCTAACTGCTGAAGACCATGAATTAGGTATTTCTAAAAACTTAGCTAATATTTGTCCTTCTAAGCGGAAGCTAATTAAAAGGAACTTATTTTACTTTCCCTCATAATACACGCATGTCATGGAGACAATATGGAACCAAACTGTCACACTTTGATAGGATAATTTAAAACTGTACAGAGTATGACATACAGTAGATGCTAAGTACTGATAGAATGAATACTTCTGAAAAAGAGGTTCTAATACTAATTGCACATACTACATCTGTTTTTGAGATTCACAAAGCTCAATCACATTAAAGCCTCTAAAAAATCTTGAGATAAAACTATCTAATTTTGTTTAATTCACAATATCCCAAACTCATTAGCAACAGGTTCCCTTTTTCCCTAATATCATCTTGACTCAAAAAATACTTTCTCAAATATCTGCTTCAGTATGATTAGCTAACTAGAAAAAGCATTTAACAGAAAATATATCAAAATAAGAATTTTTGCAATTATGTTTATACTTTTCTTTTTTGCTTAAAATAACATTTAAAAAAAAAATGTCTGAAATATAAGGTCCTGTCCAGTTCTAAACTTGTATAATAATTATTCTAACATAACTTCTTTAAATTGATCAAAATTCCTTCCTGTGTTAGACCTTCTTGCAAAATACATTTCAGGTAACAAAACTGAAAATCCTTCTTGCAGAATTTCATCTTTTAATAAAATATTATGAATCCACTTTTTCTAACTAAATTTTTCTTTCTTTCTTTCTTTTTTTTTTTTAATCCTCACCCAAGGACATTTTTCCATTTTTTGTTCAGGTAGAGTGGGAGAGAGAGAGAAGAACAGAGAGAGAGAGAGAAACATCAATGTGAAAGGAACACATCGAGTGGCTGCCACCCGCACAACCAACCAGGGCCGGGGACAAACTGCAACCGAGGTACGCGCCCCTAGCGGGAACCGAACCCGGGTCTCTCAGGACCGCAGGCCAACGCTCTAACCGCTGAGCCAAACCGGCCAGGGCCTAACTAAATTTTTCATTGATGATTTAGTATGCTATAATTTTTCAAAATCAACTTACATTTTAAAGTTACAAAAGACACTTTCAGTTCTTAAACGCCTCATGCTTTCTGGCTTTTGTTTTTTTGTTTTGTTTGTTTGTTTTAATTGATTTTGAGAGAGAGGAAAGAAGAGGGAGAGGGAGGGAGAGAGGGAGAGAGAGAAACATATATAAATAAGGCTTCCTCTTGCAAGCCCCCAACTGAGGATTAAGCCCATAACCTGGGCATGTGCTCTGACTGGGAATCGAACTGGCGACCTTTCAGTACACCAGACAATGCCAAACTGAGCCACACAGGCAAAGGTGCTTTCTGGCTTTCAAGACTTTATACAAGCTGATCCCTGTAATTAAAATATATTCTTTACCCAACCAAATCCACTGTCATCCTCTTTCATGTCTCAGTCTATGCCTTACTGTCTTACATGACCTGTTACATCACTGCTGCCCTTTCTTTTTGTTTCCTTCACACATTACATACTCCTCCTTCCCAAATGTTCTTTTACGCAACCCACCCCAACACTTTGTAGTACTTATATTGTATTAATTGTCCTTAATAATACCTAGACCTCAGTAGGAATCTAATGATAGTTATGATTCTCTCCCCCTCCCCTGCAAAAAGCACTTATATAGGTCCTACCACAATCTTACCTTATTTTGGGTGTTTTTAAGACCTCTGGCACCATACTAAAATTGCCAATTTATTGGTCCATGTCCTGCCTAAGACATGAAAATTAGATCTTGTTTACCTATCAACCCAGTACCTAAACTCAGTACTTATAGTGAGGGCTTAATAAATTATTAGATAAATGAACACATGAAAATGTACAGAAACACTGACTTATCTTCTATCTAACCATTAAATAGTTAAGTTCCTTATGGTCTGGGTCTGAGATCCTGGAAATCAGTTCCAGGACCTTTTTTCTTCATACTCTATAATCCCTCCTTGGTTAATCCTTATGCATATCAAACTTTTATCTTAAAAGACATCTTTCTTTGGATCCCAAAGCTTCAACTCATATGTAAGAATAAACTCATAATCCTCATGTCCAAACTCTCCAAAATGGCAACACCGTATACCCAGTCTCAAACCAAGATGCCATTTTTTTTTACACTGCCCATTCCTTCCTCCCACCTCATTCCCAATATCCAAGCAGTTTCACCAAGTTCAACTGATTTTTCTTTCCTATTCTTAAATACAACTACCTCTCTTTCACCACAATAACAGCCCAATTTCAAATCATCTTTGCAATAAACTCCCATTTTTCCCACATCCACTCATGTTCTCTACCTCATTCAAATCTAGTCTCTATTTGCCTTAGAATGAATGCTCTTTCCAAAATATGTATCTGGTCAAGCCACTCCTACTTAAAATCACACCAGAGGCTTTCCCTTTTCTTAGGAGATTCAAATCTTTTACATGTTGTACAAACTTTGAAATGCATTTCTGGTTCATTCCTAATTCTCTGCTTTACTTGGCACATTCCCAGCCCTACACCCCCAGTCCTCAATTTCTACATTTAGACCCACCCATTTTCTTTCAGGTTCTTTACCCTACACTCTCTTCTGTCAGGTTTTTCCCATGTGATGCAATCATTTCCCCACATCCCTTGCCTACACAACTCTTCTATGTGCTTCAGCTCTTTCCACCAATGCAACTTCATTTGTTTTCCTTTCCCATATGTAGCCTATGTGTATTATCTTGGGTGCATACACTCAGTGACTTTTCCTTAAGCCATGTATCAGTTTATGATTATACATTTTCAAGTGTAATGACTTAACGCTTTTCTTCACAAATTCACCACAAACTATAAGAAAACAGGGATCGTGTCTCCATTTGGTCCCAACTGTGTCACACACAGTACTTATTTCAAAATAAATAAGCCCTGGCCGTGTTTGCTCAGTGGTTAGAGCGTCAGCCTGCAGTCCAGAGAAACCTGGGCTCGGTTCCCACTAAGAGCACGTACCTCAGTTGAATTTTGTCCCCAGCCCTGGTTGGGTCATGCGGGTGGTGACCACTCGATGTGTCCCTTTAACGTTGATGTCTCTCCCCCCCCACTCTATCTGAACAAAATATGGAAAAATGTCCTCGGGTGAGGAAAATAAATAAATAGATAAATAAATAAATAAATATTGCCTTTTGCTACTGTGTTTTTCTAAACATTATTCTTAAAGATTATTAATCTATGTCACTATGGTCAATATTTAAAATGTAAAAACAAATTTAAAACAACTGAAATAGCTCACTTATGGCTATACATATATAATTTTTCAAATTAGTTAAGAACCCCTATCTTTAGTAAGCTTTTTGATTTGAATAAACTATTATGTTATATATTTATACTAGTAAATAACTAAAAGAAAAGACTTGAATT